CTGTGCGGCTGACCCACCTCGGCTGCCTCCCCGCCTCTGCCAGCAGTTACGTCTGGAGTCCGGCCGACTCCGGGTGGTGCTCATGCCTTGGAGGCAGCAGGAGGTTGAGAGCTGTGTCCTCCGACCCGGGAGGAAGGGGCTCCCGGGCAGGGGAGGGAGGGGAGGGACGTCTCCTGCGATTGCCCCAGGCCGTGTGACCTCCCCTCCAGCCTTGTGTCAAGGGACCCCGGATCGCAAAGTCCTCGTGGCCACGAGGACTCCCCGCGGAGACGGATGGCTCTGCCCGAGATCTCGCTTCACCCCCCGCGACCCCACGCTATTTCTGTACTCTGCACCTTCTGGCCTACCCCACCCGCCGTCCTCCCTTCTAGCGCCCCAAAGGAAAAAAGCCACAGGGAACGATCGCCTCCTGGTGGTGGAATGAGGTAGCACACTGTCCAGCCCGGGACCTCGCCGCACGCAACGGTGTCGCCTCGCACCCCAGCCTCGTCTATGCAGCCCAGGGACTTCACCAAAGTCGTCCCGGAGGGCCGTGCTCTCCGCGACCCCCTCCCATATGGAACAGAAAGCCATGTTTTAAAGCAGAACCAGCGCAACCCCAGCCCCTCCTCCCTCTGGTGTTTCAGATAAAGGAGGTGAAGGGGCAGGAGACGACTGAGATCTCTCTCGCGCCGCAGTCTCAGGGGTGAGAGGGAGGCGCGCTCTGCTCAGAGAGCCCCGTAAGCCAGGGACATGCCCCACTCTTGGGCAAGTGCTCAGCTGGAGGAGCCAAAACAATCTGCCCCACAGGCCGGATGCAGTGGGGAGGCCGAGGCGAGAGGATTGCTTAGAGTCCCGGAGTTCGAGACCAGCCTGGGCAACCTAGCGAGATCTTGTCTCTACAAAAGAATCAAAAAATAGGCAGGCGTGGTGGCCCCTCTTTTCCCAGCTACTGGAGAGGTTGAGGCTGCATCGTGCTATGGCACTCCAGCCTGGGCCACAGAGTGAGACCCCAACTCAAAAAAATTTTACAGAATGTGTCACACACGCCAAGCATCAGGCAACCTGCCCTCGATGGCTGGGGGGGGCACTTAGGGTAGGCAGAGCCTAATGAATGCTGGGGGGATGGGAGACAACCCTTCTAGGGGCAGCTGGGGGCTGGGAGGTTGGACTGCAATTAGCGGGGTCCTTGAACCTGTACGTCTCTCGATTCCTCTTCTCTTGGTCCCCCTCCCCCATCCCTGCGGGGCAGGCATCAGGGCATGCATTTTATTCAGAGCTGGCACTTGAGCAGGAGACCCTGCCTTGCATGGAGTGTGTGGGGGATCCCCCGGACACTCCTTGGCTTCCAGTTCCGTCCCATCTGCAGCAGGTCTCTGGGCACCTCTCTCCCCAGGGGCCCCTCACCCCTGCCACGGGGGAAGGGACAGAACTGCTGGCAGTCCAAGAGAGGGGTTCGATGGCGGAGCTGGATTTGGCCTCCTGGGGCTCCAGAAACCAGCTCAGGACAGAGCCTGCACGGGCCCCCAGGGAGCCAGGGCCGTCAGCAGGTGGGCTCCACATAGTTCCCAGGGAAGAATCCAGTCCCCTCTGAGCTGACGCCCTCGTACCAGCCGTCGGAGTAGCGGCGGGTGACGCAGATGACGGTGCCCTCGGAGAAGGAGAGCTCATTGTCCTTCTGGCGGGTGTAGGGGTACAGTGTCACCACTGCAGGGGGAGAGAGGGGGCCACGTTGACGCCCCATTGGTGATGCAAGGGTGCGGTTCAACCAAGCCTCAGGACCCCTCCCCAGTCCAGCTGGCATTCAGTGCCAGGCCGGCTGCTCTCCTAGACCTGCTCTGATCTCAGTTCATCAGACAAGGTGTGTGTGTGTTGGGGGTGGGGAGAATATAACAGGCCCGCACGCCTTTGCCAGGGAGGGGAGATGCCTCGGGGAAAGCGGGGATTCCCTCAGCACCGGAGTCAAGTACCTTTCTCCAAGTATGAGGCAGGCACCCAGCTGGGCTCCTCCAACCCAAAGCCTGGTGGGGGCGGAGGTAGCAACCCCAACTCATCATCTCCATCCAGGGGCAGAGGAGGGGGCAGGTCCAGGGGCGGGGGCAGTTCTGCATCTGCGGGAAGGGGGTGGGTGGCCGTAAGGTTGCAGATGGCACAGGAAGCTCCCTTCCCAGGCTGTCGCAGGGGCCCAGGATCCACCCGCGTCACGTAATCATCCTAATCATCCTCCGGCCCTGGTGCGTCCTGGTCTTCCCACAGTGCCTCTAGCATGTAGTAGGTGCTCAGTAAACACTGAAAATTCAAACAGTTTAGGGTAGCCAGACTGCCACGCATTAGCAGGGTGGCCCTTGGGCAAGGCGCTGAACCTCTCAGCCTCAGCGGCTTCATCTGCTAAGTGAGAGTGTCAGGATCGCTTCTGGGCTGAGTTTAAGCGGGTGAGCGGCTTGGAGCGCGGGACTGGGTTTAAGAGGGACGAGGTTATTTCCACTTTCTCCACCTCCTTGGTGGAAACTTTCCCTGAGGCAGGCAGGGGTAGAGCCCAGAGGAGCGGGTAGGGGTGCGGGGGAGCGTCGGGTGGTGACAGAGACTCCACAGCCGGGGTGGGGGAGAGGGCGGAGCTCCTTACCCGGCGGGGGCGGAGCCGGCTCCTCTATCGGAGGAGGCGGCAGGAAGACCTCGACGGAGGCTGGTGGGGGAGGTGGGTCCAAGGAGCTGGGGAGAGGTGGGGGCGGGGGTGCAGCCTGCCCCTTGGGCGTGGAGACCCCAGCGGCACCCTCGGCGCTGCTGAAGACCAGAGAAGCGGGCTCGGCTCGGTGGGGCACCTCCCCTAACCCAGCACGCCCGACCCGTCCCGCCCCGTCCCACCCGTGACTACCCAGCTCTGCACCTGCGACCCCCGGGTCCTCCTAGCTCCGGAAGTCACTGTGACAACCGACCGGAGGCCCCTGAGAACCAAGAACCACCTCCCTCCTGCAGTCCGCCCACCCACGTGGACCCGTGGGGCTCACCCGGCCGAGGCCAGGGAAGAGGCGGAGGAGGCGGCGGAGAGTTTGCCGTCGGGCACCACGGGGAGCTGCACCGGCTCGGGGATCCGGGGCGGTCTCCTGGGGGGGAGTGCCATGAGGAGG